TTGGGGGGCTGGAGGGAGTAAGACATGTAAAGTCTCCCACACCTCCCATGAGCAGATGTCTGTGTGAATGAAAATGGAGCATCTGCCACTAGGAAATTCAGCAGAATAAAAAATAAGGATGGATAACTAAGAAAAATGCATTCCCTATAGTTTCACTTGAACTTAATGATCTGATTGCTTAGGTAACCAAAGGCAGGCATTTTCAAGATGTCGTTCCCGTATTTTTAGGGTCAGCTGGGAGCAAATTTTCCCTTAGACATAGAATCTTAAAACACTTCCACTGAAGTGAGCATTAAGTACAGAGCCTGCAAAATGACACCCCAGACTCGCTCCCTAAGTGTTAAAGAGAGGGGTTGAAGTTTCCACTCAGGAGTCTCAAGGGGACATAGAGATCACTATTTTTGTCATCCTGCTCTGAGGTCTAGCCCCCCACCTGTGCACATAGGACCCTTGGAAACTGTAAGGTTACAAGCTTCTAGGTGGCCACCAAATACTGTTTTTTTAAATTGAATAAAGCACTTCCAAATGTATCTTCATAAAGCGGACACTATTCTCACCTCTATCAGGTTGAAATCCTAGCTCTGTGTATTCAGAGATGTCGAGTATTTAACGCTCCTATAGTAAGACGGGAATTATTATAACGACACTTTATCAACTTGTCATGAAAATTAAATGTGAGAATGAATACAAACTGTATGGAAAGTTTTAGTTTCTCTAATCTTATTACTATCTGGAAAGTCTGTGGATTTCTTATGAAAGTTAGAAAGGAGGATCCATTCTAGACTGTTGCTCGTGAGAGATTATAAACATACTGGCTAAATAAGCAACACTTTCTTCCTGTTCACCACCAGCTATGACGCTAGGAGGGAACAGCTGTTGAAAAGAAATGTTCAGATAGAGTAGTCCTAATTAAAGAACCCCCAGCAGAACTACACTCTGCTCCTTATCATTGATCATAACAGTCCTTAACAATAACACAGGGCCCCAACAAGGAAAAGTACAGAGACAGGAAGAGTCTTTCTCAGATGGGAATCTTACCCTTTCATATAACTGCATTTCTGACTAATTTGAAGTTAAAAGAAAACAGCATTATCTGCACTCACATCAGCAACCTATGCCTATAAAAAATATTTCAACCCAATGACAATGCCTTACTTATAGAGGTATTATCCTCTTATGTTTAAAATCTCTGAATCTTTCCTGCAATGGCTAGAGTCAAAGACAGACCGTTGTGAAAATCTGCTCCAGAGAAGTGTTTTCCTTCTAATTTCACAGTCATAAAAATGACTTGGGGTAATTTGGATATTTACACTTTATGGTTGGGTATTAGTTCACGTTGACCATCAAAGTGAGGGAAAAAATTTTTTTTTCAAGTCCTGAATGTATACTCCTGTGCATTGTAGCTTCTGAGCCAATACCTCCAAAGGATTTTGGGGGATAGATTTTGTTAAAATGAGCACTTACAGAAGAATAACCAAATTTATAAATAAAAATTTCTCTCTTTTACTGGATCCAATGTTGCTCTAATCATCAAACTATGCAAACATAAAAAGAGAAAATCACTCTTTCCCCCAGATCTACTTTATCATCTTAAGAACATGCCTGGCATGATGTGAACCTCTCTGCTGGTGATACCAGGGGGCTAGGTTTACTGTAAAGTTCTAAAGCACAGAATTAGGTCTTCAGTGATTTGGCAATGTCCAGGGAGGAAGGGGAAACATCTGAAGTTATTTTTACATTTGCAAGTCTTCTGGCTGTTGAGGGTGAATGGTAGGGTGGGGGTCAGGTATTGTGTGGAACCCTTTAGGGTCTTTTTTTTTTTTTTTTTTTTGCATAGCCTCATTTCCTTCTTCCTGTTGCTAGGAAGGAGAATGAAGCATGAGAAATTTGTGTTTACAATACTGGACCATCCTGTCCAACTCAGGCACTCTACAGAAAGAGTACAATTCATTTCACCTACTGTACTCTGGATGCCCCCATTCTTCTGAACCAAGTCATCTTTCCCCAAATATGTTCAAATTGCATATTTACCCACCTAAGGCATAAAAATGCCACTCTCATTTGAGCATTGCATCATGGCTTAAAATCTCCATGGGGACACCAAGGGAAACCCAAGTACTTATTTCGGTCTCTGAAATCAACTCTTGGAATCCCACCAAGTCTCTGATTGGAAGGCATCTCACTGGGGCCTCCCAATTCCTCTTCAAGACCCACACTAGTTCTAGAAATAGAAGTTGAAGTTTTAGATGTATTTTTTACTCATGTTATAGTAATAACTTTTTGAATCATGCCATACTTTTCTGTTAACCTAGTATATTTTCTAGAAACATTTGAACATTCCTTCCTAATGTTAAAATTCTCTCAAGTTGTTTGGTCTTTGCTCGTTGAGCTACAGTATAAATAACAACAGAATCATAAACAAAAGGAATCCTTAGGTGAAAGGGTAACTGACATCTCTGCCTCACTCCAGAACCAGTCTTCTGATTTGTGCAGGTAGTACTTGTTTTCAGTTAGCTATAGGGTTCAACCTTTTTACTCTTGAAGGAGTATTTCTCCTAAGATCTGTAATTGGGAAGTTAAGACACATATGTGTCACTGAGATAATGTTTCTCATCCACTCAAAGGAAAGATTTAAAATGGGTGCTATTTATCCTAATTCTGTAAATTGGGTAAACCAAGTCAGAGTCCCTTTAGAACTTCCTGAACATTTGGTATGAAGGGTCATTCAGCTTGAATTAAAATAAAATTTGTTCTTGTCAAAAGCAAACTTTAAAAAACAGCTCAGAGAGAAAGTTAAGTCTTTGGTGCTTCATTCTAAACTCTGAACAGTAGTGCTAATGAAAAAAATATGCATTTAGGCTTTGGCCAGGCTGTAAATCTAGCATGCCACGTTAAAGTACACGCAATCGCCAACATTTTTTCAGAAAATGTCTCGAAATAACTTCTGAATGCACATCTGCTAACTATTTGACACTCATTCCCCAGGGCGTTAGTTCTTCTACCAGAGGGGCTGTTAACTTACAGGGCACCTTCTCTGACCATCTGCTACAGTCTGCAAGCCAAGATGGCACTGGGTGCCTCCATTAATTCTACACTTAGGGTCTGCAAATTATCTCAGCAGAGGACCAGCCTGCAGTCCAGATGGATGCTGAATTAGTCAACCTCTTGGAGTTGCTGAGAGATTTACATTCAGAGTTCTGCTGGGCTATTATTTTCCCTCATCCCCTCAGCAAACACTTTTGGGGGAAAAAAAATGTAATTTGAGATTCAGGATTCTGCCATCTCAGACCTGGGATTTTTTTTCCTGGCTAAGTTCATCATATATGCCACCCTCATGAATCTGCAATGGATGGCTGTGCCTCGTTCTACATTCCTTCACCTCAACAATGGTTCAAACAGCACTGATTCCTGAAAATGAACCAGTTTGCTAATCATGTTGGGTGTAGAAGACTAACTCAAAGCTTGTAGGGAGCAAAGCTTTTCTCTCTACCATGCAGATAAATAACGACATGCAAAGGTTTCCTTCTATAGGAAATAGCATAAATTGGGTGTATGCTGAACATCAGTGCCAGACAATGTGCTAAGCACTTGTATTAACTCCATTAATACAAACTCCCCCAAATGACAAATATGACTATTACCCCCATGCTGCAGATGAAGGAGGTGCAGAGAGGTCATGTCACTTCCCAGATTCAGCCAGGTAGGAGGCTGCAGACCCTACCTGGGCCAGTCTCAGCCCTGTCTGTTGTAACTCTCCAAGCTCCAGGGTCTGTGCACCAAGTAGACACGTAAAATGACACGTGGCAAGGTCGGTTGGCCACAGCCAGGGGTATAACTCTTGCAAAAGATCAAAGGCTCACCCCATGACGTTGGAGGTGGGAAACAGGGCAGAGGCTGCGGCAGAGTTCCAAAAAGCCATTG